ACTTATATTTTCTTACTGCTCTCCAAATCCTCAGAGCCACTCTATTTCAACAGAGCACCTCCCTTGCTTACTTCTTTTTGCATAAAAGATAAAAGTAAATGAACTTTCTTATGCTGAATATTAAGGAAAAAAAACTTCTTTAAAAAAAACGCATGACCAACACAGAATTTTCCAGGCTTTTATTTACTAATTTTTAAAGGGGACAAACTACTTTAAAATTTTCAATTCTAGTGCACCAATTTACTAAATGAGCAGAAATTATCATTCTACATAGTAGTATTTAAAACACTAAAATGATGACAACCCCCCAAAAAAAGCAAGTTCTTTTCTCAATTTGTTATTGTCTAGATTTGCTTAAAACATTTTAGTTTGCCTGTGAAGTTCTTGGCTTTTATTTTTTTCTTGTATTTTTTTTTATATTATTTTTTTTTTTATTTAGATAATGGTACAGGGGGGAAATAAGGTAGAACTTACAGAAAGAATACAAGTGTCAAGATTGCTTTATATTATTTTTTAAGCAAACAGAGCACAAAAGCAATCCTTTAACCATGTACTAACCTCAACTTGATTTGCATTGAAAAACAGGTAGACGATAGTAGCTAAGGTTTGTGCTTCGTAAAAGCAAAAGAAATACATGGCAGTTGCAAAGCATTCTTAACCTCCAGTGATTTATTGGCCCTCAGCCAAGTTATCAGGGGAATCTAATTCTTCTTTATTATTCAAATAAACCACATTTGGCACCATGGTTTCTTTTCAGAATAGCTTCACAAATAGACTGAGTACTGTCATTTATTTGACCTTGTACTTGTGTGCTGTAGCTATAATTTTATTTGCCATTTCATAGAACAAATGCACAGAAAGCCAAAATAAGGAGATAAGTTACACTACTAGTAACACACTACACATGTAATATACCTGTTGGTTTTGCCTGCTTTATTTTAAAAAGGACAAAATCTCAACAATTTATTCTTTTTTCCCCTTCTTCATCTCTATTATCTCCTATTATGCCTGCAGCTGCACTGCTCCTTTTTAGTGAGCTCTCTTTTCAACAAGCCAATTTGCTAACCTGGTCTGTGTCTGGGACGAGTAGGAGAAGTAGGAAATATTTTACTCTGAGGTACGGACCTTACAGAGCAGAAGCAATGCATAATATCCTTGTTGACTACAACTGCTGGTGAGAGGTGATTAAGAACTTATTTCCTGAAAGCAAAAGTATCCAAGCCAGCTTATCAGCCCATAGTATTTCCTACTGACCTTGAAACCTCATATGTCTGACAACTTTATCCTTTGCTCTGGATAGATTTTTCTCCCTATTTGTTACTATTTATGTTTCAGCCCTTTTTGGCCTAAGTTTCAAACACAGAGACTTTGCAAAAGAATTGAAATCTCTTAGGTAAACACTGATATTGACTTCTAAGTGCCTGAAGGAGTGCCTCTTCAATGGCCAGAGATGGTGACTCATTTTAGCCATTGAAATCTCACCCCATTTCTAAAAGGAAATCAGGGACTAGGTATTCAAAAAGATGGCAGTTATCCTGATATCAAAAATTACATGATTACTTGAAAATGTCAAAGAACAGATATATATGAAGGCAAAACATTTTTACATCTCTATAGACGTGCAGTGAAAAAGCCATCTGTATTGGCAAAAGAGTAAGCTACACCATCACAGGTCCTGCTGTCCAACTCAGGTAAGAAATCCTGGCTGTATTGCACATTTCTAGACATGTCTGGGTCTTCCAACAAATACTACAGTTCCTGAAACTACTGAATACTTAAAAGTATGCTGGACTATTTCAGCTTGCCCCAAGTATAACTGAGCTATGACAATGCATACAGACTAAGGATATAACTGAAAGATTTTGGCCCATTTCTGTTGCTTTTATTCTCTTCCTTCTCTTATTATTTTCAGCTAACTTTGTATCTTTCCCTCTACTTTGAAAGGCATCTGTATTCTCTGAAACTCCTCTGACTGCAATTCCACAATGTGCTCTAAAATCCACGTCTGCCAAACTAACTTAAAATTCTTGGTTAGCATTAGCTGGAAGACAAAGTGTTCAAAACACATATATCTATGGGTGTCTACATGCAAGGAACATTCATTGTAATGTCAAAAGTGTATTTATTGTAATTTTTGTTTACTATTCAAATATACAGTTATTTTTGCCAGGAGTAACTTTATTATCATCATTGCCAGGCTACCTCCCAAGATATTGTTTTATCAGATTTCTTTACTATTAGCCCTGCAGCTATCTTGGAACATCAGCATCCATTTGTTTCATACCACTGGCTCTCAGTATTCAGAAAAGAGAAAAATTGGGTTCCTTGTAAAACTGTTTTCACCTGGTGAGATTTGGTACAAGGACTATTTTCCTTTAGCAAAGAGACATGAGATTTTGCTCTGCAAGTACAAAATATATTGTACATTATTTCCATGCATAATAGTTAAAATAGAAAAAGACCCCAACCAAACAAGGATGAAGTCTTTAAGAAGTCATTTGACTAGAAAGTAAGATTCCAAAGTCAACGCTTGAAGAAGATAATTCAAATAAAAATGCTTATAATGTGCATCCAGACTTTCTGAAGTGCAAAATTACCTAGAAGTTCTATATGAATATGTGGTTGGGGAGTATCAGGATAGGCACCTATCAATGTTTACCTGCAGTGCAAGAAAAGCAACAGCACAAGTATCATATAGCACCATTCCAGAAATTCACAATTCACGAGTACTTTAAGATTGTTGCAGTGCAACAGTAGCATTTCCATGTATAGTTTGAGAAATTGCTTTATGGATATTCTTGCTAATATTTTTTGGTAACAAATAACACTCTGAATAATGATAGTAACAAGTAGCTCCAGAATTTCTTTTGTCATTATCAAGAGTCCTAGCTATATAATATTATCTCAAGAGAACAGCATATTAAAAATGTAAGTACAGTAGGTCTGAGAAACACAAAATGTCTCCATAAAGATAGAAGAGGAGTGAAAATCACAGATATTTTAGTAGATCTCAGTAGATTTCATCTATTATTTTATTAAAATCCACAGTCCGGGTTCTGATTTTTGGTAGTTTTTCCATCAATACTTTCAGTAGTGAATGCAATGAAATGTTTGTCCTGATATATCAAATACTCTAACATGCAAAGACAATTGCTTTATTTATCTGAACCCCTGCTTGAAATGTATACGGGGATCAAGATGAAGTGTAAAGTCTTAACAACATGATGTAAGTTCAAAGTAAGGAAAGATTTACCAACTCCTATAGTTAAAAAGACAGTGGCAGAAAATTCTTTTAATGAGAGACTAGCATAGGGTTAAAGCCAAATTTTTCTTGAACAGATGATATTTCAGATGGCCACACTATTCCAGATGCATCAATTTCCTTGAAAATCCAATCCATATATGTGCATATGCTGTGCTGGCAGGAGGACTGACTGAAATGGCCAAAACCCAAGAGCTAATATTCTTTTGGCCAGAATAATGCAATTATTATTTTCCTAGCTATCAGTCTAAGCATACAGAGCCATCTGTTATGCAAAGCAAACATACACATCTCAATTACAGAAAATGCAGTTGCCTTGACAGAATTTGGATTACACCACTAACCAGGGCTGTAAAATTTGTTTTAAGCTAGTGTATAATGGATGCCTTTCAGGAGTTTCCTAATTAGCATTTACCTGCTTAAACTAATTATCCATCCTTCTTCTTTAGTGGCTTATTAAACTTCGTCGGATACTATGCATAAAACAGATTAATACGAGCATAAGACAATAATAAACATTAAAGTTCCAATTCTTTACTGTATTAGCAACATGGTGGCGCACCAATTTCAAAATTTGAGATTCTTGATACTAACTCCCAAACAGATTAAGGCAGGGATTAAAGTCTATTACAAAACGACGGACTTTAATGAGAGACAAGAATACTGATATGTGTTAGAAATAGCTCTGTTTCCATTTCTATCATTTGGTTTGCTAAAGCCAGCACAAAATAACAATTACTGAACTTATCACAGCCAATTGCTTGCATGTTCTTTGAGAACTTAATGAACCTCTATTCGGATTCTCACCAGATAATATTTAAAATTAGTCTTTTTCTGCACCAAATGTTAAAATTTCTCATTTTATTGTTGCTGAGGTACAGCAAAACTGACAGTTGCCAGTGCTAATAGTTGCCTCCTCACAGCAGTATGGGTCCCAATTTAAAGGAGCTGAAATAAATATTATCTCAATTTTTCTTTTTCTCCTCAGGCTGACTGCGATAGAAGTAGATTATCTTACTCTGAAAATCATCGTGCAAAATCTTTCTGCTGCATTTCTAAGTACAAGGAGAAAGAAGCTATCCTTCTTAAACATTCCTGAATGCTGCAGGATTAGGAATAAGCATAAACAAGCAACTTTCCCCCCAATTTTTGCCTGCCTTTTAATCTTTTAAAAACAGTCGTCAGCAAAGATATGAAAAAAAAAATTAAATGATTATATTCTATAAATTTGCCTTTTCACATCAGTGAGCATTTGTGAAAGCAGTAAAATGTGTCCTTGTTGGAACCCTCCCTGCAAGACATTTTAATGGTCTCTTTCAGCATTTCTTGACTCGAAATGACTCCCTGTCATTGTGTCAGCTCCCTGGATAATGCAGGGTACTCCATAAACATCCAGTAATAGGACACAAGGGAAGTACTATTAGTGTGTCCCTTTCCTATCAGGTATAGAGGTTTAAAGTTCAAAACAACTGAGGAAAGAAACTTCATTTGTTCTCAATAAATTAATAATGAACCTTCATGGCAAAAAGTTTTCAGGCACAAGTTTGTGTTATCTCAACATCCAATACCAATAGATACGTTTTTCAATTACTTCTCAGGATGAATCAGATGCAACTTTAAATAGTTAAGTCAATAATCCACACAAAATACAGAAACCAAACTATTATTTCTTTAAGAATGATAAACAGAAGAATGCATCATACACAATCATGTTCTAGAATTGAAAGCATGTACTTACTTGGGACAGGCCTAAATAGATGGAGACAGTTTCTGAAATGTACAAAAATTTTCCTTCTTGATTTAGTGCAAATACAAATCCATCCAGGGACTACAGAGTAAGTGGAGGGGAAAAAAAAAAAAAAAGTGAATAGATTAATAAAAAATTCTAAATTCCAGATAAAAATAGACTCAAACAAAGGCATCACAGAACACATTGAGGAAAATGTTCTGATTTCTATGAGAGTGTTTTTAACTTGAATCCTGAAGACAATTACTTCATATTCTGTCTATATATTAACAAACAGCATATGAGTATATTCCAAAGTTCGAGGACTTATTGTAATACTTACATCTGCCATATACTGGATAAAATTAGTCTCATTTGCATGACAGAAGAAATATAGAAAATAAAATGTTCTTCAATTTTTTACAGGAATAAATAAATAAAGAAAACAAATAGCCTTCCAATTAAATGGTATGTAAGATCCCTTCCCATCCCCAAGAATCAAAGTAGTGAATTTCCCCTTCTAAAAACTGAAAAAAAGAAAATAAAATTCTACTATCACTCAAACCACTATGGACCTCAATAATTTGTTAATTAATTGAGGATTACACACACACACATGTGCGCATGCACGCACCCTCCCCCCCCCATTTTCCTTTTGTGAGACAACAAACAAAGCCAATCAGCAGATTACTGTCAAATATGTTTACAGCTTAGGTCTATAGAAATGTTATGAATTTCATCCCTTTGGTGTAAAACTCTAGATCAGATTTTATTTTGACAGGTTCAAGTCTTTGGATGTGGTTTCCATTGCAACTGCAAAAATCAACATACGACTACACAGATTAATGAATACCTTTTGAAACATGAGTGCAGTTAATAAACAAAGGACTATATTCTAAACTGACACACAGAGTAAATCACTGCACATCAAGATGGAAATATACCTCTAGGAATAAGAGCAAATCTTCACTAGGAAGAAGCTGCCTTTCGCACATTATGTGTGCCTTTACTTTTGTGCTTTTTATGAGGCTGATTATTGGCAAACAAGCATGCACAATAGCAAAAGTAAAATCAAAAAATTCCAGACATTAGAAATGCTAAAACAACTCAGAAAATAAGAAACACCTCAAACGATGGGATGAACAAGAAACAATCCCATCCCAAATATCCCCTTGGGATAAAGGTCTGTGTAAAGTAAAAACATACAGCAGCATTTGAGAGACCAACCTGGTTTTGGAAGAAAAAATGAGAGATGTGCACAAATGTGATGGAGATATATGATGACAAAGTCATGTAATCATTTCATTCCCTTTCAAATACAGACCAATGATTTCTGAGGGTTTTTAATTTTTTTATTCTTCAGCTTCTTGATTAATTTCTAACACACTGCTGGTCAGAAGCTGTCTTTGGCAAGCGTTCTCCCCTCTCTGATGTAGTAGGTGGTGGAATTAGTTCAAAAATCTGTGTTTTCTAAAAAGAATAAACCACATATTGGAAAACAAACCCTCACTAAAGACACTGCATTAAAGAAAGACTCTAATTTATATTTATGAATTAATAAAAATGTAAATCTGCATAGATTTTCTTCATGTAAAAACATTTATATTATGCAAGCCATTTATGGCCTCTTATAAATCATCATCATTTCTTTTCAAATGATTAACATCAGTTCCTTGAATTTTAACATCAATAACAGGTGGAAAATTTGGAACAGTGAAGTTCAAACTTAGATCCATAGAAGGACAATCAAAACCTCTACATTTTTGATCTCCCCCACTATGTATAATTTCTTTTGCTACTCTCCACTTTCCCCATCACAGAAAGATCAGAAGAGTGAATCTTTAAAGGTCTCTGTTTAAGTTTTCCTGACGCTTCGTCCCATACTCCCTTGAGGAAATTGGCTTAATCCTCTCTTAGAAATAAAACTGTGAATCATCATCCTGACTCCCTGGCCACCTCTATATGTTCTTCCTAGAACTTCATTCTCCACAAGCCACAATAAATTGCCATACTGAATCAGACTAACGGCCTATCTGCAGTGGGGGTTTTCCCGAGTCTGACAGTGTGTATCTAGATGCTTCAGAACAGCATTTGAAATACCCGTAACGGTTATGTAGGTAATGACAAGCCTACTAGAAGTTTCTTTATAACCTCAGGTTGTTACTAATTGGCAAGACCATGATACCTGATATTCCTTATAATCATTTTTTACAACTAGCGTGCTTATGCTCAAGACTTTTTTTTTTTTTTGAATCCTGTTATGTTCTTGGCTCAATGATATCTTGAGGAAAGAAGTTTCACAGGTTATTTGTGTATCATAGAAAACCAGCTTTCTTCTCAAATTTTTTACATATCCAGGATTTTAGCGTGGTGCCCTCAGTCCTTTACTCAAGAGTTTCATACAGTTGGAGCATATTTATGATCTGTTCTGTTTAGTACACTGCTTTACTGTGTAATTATCTACATTTCTGGGTAGAGTTTTGTAAGAACAACAAAAAGCCACTGATGGCTTTCCTGCTTCTTTTCTATGCATTATCTTATTCAGGAATTCAGGCTTCTTAATGAAATGGAAGTTTGAAGAAAGCTTTTAGTACTGATTAGGCAGGATTGTTTTCCTGACTGCTGCTTTGGAACTGGCTGAAATTTGTTTTGCTGGAAAAATATAAATAAATAAAACTACCTCTGGTCAAGACAACTGTACAAAGAAATTTCAGCCTGCATGGCCAAAGTTTGGAAAGCCATTGGCAAGTGGGAAGAGTGTTAAAGTGAGAAGCGTTAGACATCTTAATCACTTGCTACTTTTCCATGCCATTGGCTCTGATTTTCTCCTTTCAGTTAAACAGTTTTTATTCCTTACCTTTTTCTTCTTTTGCTTTCTGGGAGATTATTCCTTACTTTTGCCTTCTAGTTTTACAAGAGTGGTACTAAGGAGGCACCAGTGATGGAGTGGCAGGGCCACTGCAGCACAGCCACATTTGACTTCTTCCATGATTAGTCCCTTCCTGTGCCATTATGCCAACTGAGACTACAAAGCTGTCGTCAGTCCTTCTTTCTCCATTTCCCTTCCCTCCTCCCTGAAGTTACGCTTGGGTAAAAATACTGAGCACTTTCACTCTTTTGTTCAATACAGCAAAGTCAGAAAGTTTATTTAATCATATTTTGAAAAAGCCACTAATTAATAGCTAATGGAACAGCTAACTACTCCCATGCACAAAATATAAAGACAGAAAAAAGGCCCCAAGTACTAAGATCAAGCTCTAATACCTAAGAAAAAATACAATAAAAATAGGGGGAGAAATAGCCATCTTCCAATGCCAGGCAGTTCCTCCCACCAGTATGAAAGGGCTGAGATGGACCACTTTTGTGACAATGTTGTTGTTCCTTATACAGGTCAAACAGTAGTTCTGAAGGACTGTCTCATTCGTTATTCATAGGTATTATTTATGAATATTTATTATTTAAGTAATGCGTGTTGAAATTTTTCAATTTTTCATAAAGCGTATGTCCTTTGTGCATGCCAAGAGAGCAGCAGACTTCAGAGAAGGTGGCAGACAACATAACAAAGGTTATGTTATATACTGAAGAACACTATGTGATACCATGGTATACCACCTATTTACAAACAATTTTGGTTTAATGAGAAATCTCTGGAAGTATTACTCATATTACCTATGTATAACTAAGGACACAATAAATGCAAGAAGGGTACTGGATTTAGTCAGCTTTCAAATCTCTCTTTTAAAATGAGCATCACAGTGTAATTTCCAGTCTGAATTTCTGAACAGTTTCACTGCAGTTCAAAGGCAGATAGGATTCCCGTTTCAGATGTTCCACAGTTATCATCAACTATAACACAGGAATAGGGCCTGCAAAAGTAACTGTTTTTTTTCATAAAATGTTCTATTTTCATTGAAGCAGAGGCCATGAATATAAAGGTAGAACATCTTCTGTTAGGAAAATATTATTGAACTAACGTATTTTTTATTTTTATAAATAAAGTGGATTGTCCATAAACTCAGTTCTACCCCACCTAGTGTGGCAGCTGAAAACGAGTCAGGGTGACTCCAAATGTCGATTTTGAGCACAATCCAATTTAAGGAAGACTGGCAACTTCTTGTCTAAACCTACACTTACTGGTTTTATGCAAAATGTGATTAAAGCTGACGTTCCCTAGTACTTTTGATTTCAGAAAATCATTATGTATTATGCTGTTTCAATCACCACAGGCTACTTTTTAATTTTTTCTTTTTTTTTAACTGCCCCACTGTTTTCAACAGGCGCCAATTAAGATTCTGAGGTCAAAGGGTTAATTACATCTTCTTACCCACTATGTAGAATTTTCTGATTATTAACCAAGGTTGGATTAAGATGAAAAAGAACCGACACAAATGTTAATGCTTGCCCCTCCTAGAGAAGATTTATCATAATACCATGCTGAAATCTATATGCTTTCTTCAAAGCTGCTAGAGAATGAAATCTTAGCGGAAACACTAAAATAAATGCTTTAAAGACATACAAGTATCTGATTTATTGAGCCAGTTTTCTTATTCCTGAAAACTGTTCTAAACACTAGCCAGACAGGACTGATAGAAGATTCCCTTTGTCACATAACAGCAAGTCCATGTGGTAGACACAAGGGAAGTGAGACTCAGATGTAAAAGTCACTAGCTACAGCACCTCTGAATAACAATGCCAACAATTATAATTTATATCCTCTGACATCAGAATAATATGAAAATGTAAAGCACAGGTTTTTTAACCCAAAATACTAAGTGCCTCCTACAGTATTTGTAGAAAAGTGAGATTATTTCCTCTCAGGATATGAAACCCACTGAACCACTTTGACCGAATATGCACTAATGTATAATGCATCGTACTAAATGGATTTGTATTTGTCAGAGGAATTTTGTCCCAGCCATTTTTGCATATTCCCACTACAGGCAAATTTAATTCACGGGAGTCATACTACAGTGTCCTTCTGGAGAATATCCTCATATTTCATACTATCCATGAAGACCCTAATTCTTTCTAGTGTATTCCAATGCTGCAAAAAAACCCTGCTACCCTGACCTAAACTCCAGTTAGAGTGAAGAATTACCAGT